TAGCTGACCATTGTAAGCCAAACTTGTAATTCCTTGTACATTTGTTTATCTTGTATTATATCTGTTCCTCTAGTAAACCCTGACTGATACACCTGTATATCTAGTCAACTTTTTTTGGAAAAATTACTCATGTATATTTAGATGCGTTAATTATATAAACAGTACGGCTCCAATACGTTGTTCCCAACCAAGGAGAACTGGTTGGAATGCAGATTACGAGGTACAGAGAAAGTTTTTAAGATGCCCCAGTGTGAGCACTGGGAAAGGAGGTTGCTACTGAGGTACACTACTGGACACTTCCATGAAGATACTACAGAGTATCACAAAAGTCAGCAGAAGACAGAGGGCACACATGGGTGGAGAAAGTGGGGTGGAGAAAAGTCATGACAATGGCAAGAGCACAGGTCCGGGTGATCATGCAAGCAGGAAGTCTTGGAGAAAAGATGCTATTAATGTCTTCTTATTGGTTACATGATGTTGTCATCAGGGGCGATTACTGGCTGAGAAGACCAACAGAATTCCCAGTATGCTTGGAATAGCACTCCCATTAACCCGCTGACCTCATCATAAAGATAGAAACTGAAAAACCTTCATCCTCCATCCAGGTCCATGCCATTCCCAACTTCAGAGGATGCAATTTTTTTTTGTTTTGTTTTGTTTTTGGTTTGGGTTTTGGTTTTTTTTTCCGGTACCGGGAACCAAACTCACAACCTTGCGCTTGGCAGGCAGGCGCTGTGCCGCTGAGCTAAATCCCCAGCCCCCAGAGGATGCAATTTTTAATGGCTCACATGACCTGGAAAATAGTGCTGCCATGCTACATTTCTGCAAGAGTAATTAAAATCTGAAGATTTTTTAAAACTTCTAATTCGTGCCCCAAATGCAATTCTTGAATCACGATTGCTTTCACAAAGGCTTGTCTTAGAAAACATTTCCAGGCACTGATGAGAGAACGAGTACTCTATAGTCTATGTTTTCACATTCATCCAACAAGTATACTCTTCCACTAACCTTATAGGTGGATGCTGAGATCCTGCTTAATTCATGAGTGTAGGAATTTGGGGATATAAGCTCTAGGATTATGATCATTCATACTTGGACATTTCTTAATATCAA